GTAATGACATTTGTGTAATATATTGTAAGTTGTAAGGGTATTTGTAACGTTAGGTAGATAGTACAGTTACTGAAAAAAAGAAATGAATACTTTGTCATGGGACGGACTAAAATGGAAAAATAGATACTTTATTATGTGACGGAGGGAGTAGTATTTTTCATTCAAAATTTTATTATTTTTAATATAATTAAACTTTATAAACTTAGATGGTGTGTTATTTCAATTTTTTCCCTTTTTGGGGGTTAGCTTTTGGGTAATTGGGTGTGTTCTTTTCATGTTTGTTTTATGTGTTTTTATTTTGGATTTTGATATTTTGAGGTTGAATATAATGGGTTTGTTTGGTGTGTTTTCAATTTCTCATTTTCACTATTTATTTTATTTTATTTTATTTTATTTTTTTATCAAAATATTACATCCTATATCAATTCCTTAATTTTACTCTTTCGGTTTCGGATGAAAATATACATTTGAATTTTTGTAGTATATTAAAAAAAAAAAGTAGCATTTTCTTTCTTAATGAAAGTGTGTAAGCTAGTTTTAATACTTTTTCTCTTTATATTTTATGTATATGTGTAATCTTGTCATTTATGTAAAAATTAAACATATTTTAGTATCAATGTTGTAATTAGTTTTACTATATGAAATGAATAATTTTGAGTAGGATAAAAAAATAAAAAAAAATGTATTTTTAGTTGAAAATGAAGGAGTACATTATTAAAAAATATTGATTTATATTACATTAAATAATTATTATAATTAAAAAATATATATTAGATTAACATACTTGAAAACACAACCAATATTTTTATATGAAAATTATTTGGAAGGATAAAATTTTCTTGAAGAAAAATTGTAAGGTTGTATAGAAAAGGAATTAAATAATAATAATAATAATAATAATAATAATAATAATAATAATAATAATAATAATGATGATGATGATGATGATGATGATGATGATGATGATGGAACAAAACTTCCTCTTTGCCCATTCCTTTTTAGTTTATCCAACACTTACCATAATTTATATCAAAAGTTTGTCCAAAGAAAAAGGTGTAAGTGATTACTTTTCTTGATGTGTACACTTTTGTCTTGTGTTTAATATTCCTTCTGTGCACAAACTAACGTTCTACTTTCCTATTTGGAATGTCCAACAATTATTGCCCTCTTTCTATTTTTATACACAAAATTTACTCTTTTACATTTACTTTACTTACTCTTTCATTTTCTATACACAAGATTAAGGGCAAATTTGTCATTTTATAACAAAAACTCTAATGGCCTAAAAATGCGTGAAAATATCAAATAAGACATTTATAAAATGGACGGAGGGAGTACTGTATAATAAAAAATTTCATTAATAAAGCTTTATGTGTTCCAAATGGTGACTGGTTTTAGATAATAAATAAAACTTTGTTTGCATAAATATTTTGTGAAGTTTTCATACTAGTCATAATAAAACAATTGTTTTTTTCAAAAAATATAATATTTTTTTTCTAGCACAATATATCATGTCAAATATATAATTTTTTATTATTTCCAAATTTCTTCAAAACTTCCAAAATATATATGTAAATAGAGCCCAAATCATTGGAGATTTAGGTAAAATTAATTTTATTTTAATTTAGTCTTAAAAGGGTTAAAATTCATTTTATTTTATCAGTCTATTTTCATATTAATAAGTTTGATACCTAATTTATCATGATCATGGTCATCATCATGATCTCATCATCTGGCCATCACCATCACTTATTATTATCATTATTGAATGCTCAATTGCATTTTTGTCAATTATATTAAATTACTATGAAATAAATGAATTAATTAATAGGATGAAATAAATTAGCAGCTCCTAACCAAAGCTCTTTTTAACATTTAGTTGTACTGTTGCAATTTACAGGATTGACAAAAAGAACAACAGTCGCTACAAAAATATAATATTTATAATGGAATTCCGTTTATAAAGTTCACGTAGCTAAAGTAATTTCATTACTAATTCTGTCTCTAATATCATTAGTAATAGAAAAAATACATTTAGGACTAAAAACCCTTGTTACAAAATTGATATTTTTTTTTTATAGTGAGTAAAACGAAAATGATGAATTACAGACCAAACAAAAGGCCAAAATGGAAAAGGAAATCAAATAAAAGGAAACAAAAAGCTACTTTTAAAAGAATAATAACAATATCTTATTATTATTATTATTATTATTATTATTATTATTATTATTATTATTATATTATGTGAAATAGTTGTTGAATGTAATATTTTCAATTAATATATCTTTTTTAGTGTGTGTTATTTTCTTTTTTTTTTTTTGAGAAAAAATTTTTATAAGTAAATAATGGTCAAGTTTTTATTTTTTTATTTTTAATATGAAACTAATTACAGGTAAAATCCGAATAGAGAAAGAAATGTGTTTGGAGATAAAATGAATGTTTAAAATAATTTAGAAATTATATATATAATTGCATATAATAAAACATCATCCTCAATTGAATTATGAGCAACGAGCATTTGGGAGTACAGTTTCTTCAACATTTAAATAAAAAATTCTCTTATAATAATTTTTTTGTGAAACAATTAGGGTGTGTTTGTTTGGAGGGTTTGGATTTTGAGTTTGAGATTTGAATAGTAAAAAAATTAATTGGAATAGTAGTATGATGTGATATAAATATATATTGATGCGATGTTTTCAATGTAAAATTAATTTTCTGAAAATAAAAAATATGTGATTGATTTGATATTTTTTGGAAAAAATTTTATGTGTGAATAGTATAAATTTTTTAAAATCCTTCAAACAAACTTCTTGGTGTGGGTGTTGTACCAGGTGCTATTACAGGTGTACCCACAAGAATGAAGGGTGCAAAGCTACAAAGCAGGTTCAAATGATCAAGAAGAATCCCACATTATTATACCAAACTACATACATCACTCGCCATTCTTGCTCCAATTTTAGGGCTTACAATAATTCCAATCTCATTTTGTGCCCTTCCGATTCCCCGGAGCCCGAAAATCTCATCAGTTTCCGGCCCACAATTAGGGATGATATCGAAATCATTAATTCTATAGAAAAAATCACATCTGAATCAATTTCAGAGAAATCGAAGAATCATGATGATCAAGATCAATCGAGGGCAGTAATCTTGCCGGAGAATGAGAATGATCGAGCCGGAGTTGGTTATGGTCTGGCGTCGTCGTGTGAGTCTACTAGCTTGCAGTATTATGGGATGGACGACGTCGACTGCAATCAGTTTGATAGTTTCTTCTGTTATAATGTTGATGATGATCAGATTGTGTTCTGATGATGAAAAGATTATTGTGTGCTGCTTGCATGGAAAATGTTTCATTGTTGTTGTAATAAGCTAAAAAAAATAAATTTAAGATACAAAGTTACTTGATGGAGTGATGAAGTTGGGATATATTGTTCTACCTTAAACATTGTTGTAATAAGTGAAATATTGGGACAAAGAGTTTTTTTTTTTATTTTTTTATTTTTTTATTTGTTTCGAGTTTTAATGTGATGGAGTTGGACAAATGTATGTATAAGATTTACCTTAAACATTGTTGTAAGAAGTGAAATTTTTTTATAAGGGCTTTGATTTATTGAGTTTTAATGTGATAGAGTTGTACAAATATATGTACGAGATTTACCTTAAACATTGTTGTAAGAAGTGAAACTTTCGTGTATAAGGGTTTTGATTTATCGAGTTTTAATTTGTTGGAGTTGGACAAAAATACTAATGAGTGTACTAATGAGTGTTACCTTAAACTTTGTTGTAATTAATTAAGAAGTGAAATTTTTATATAAGAGCTTTGATTTTTCCAGTTTTACCGTGTTTGAGTGGAACATAAGAGCACACTTACAGTATATTTGATTGTACTCACTTCATCCTCAAAAATATGTTAGTATTTATTTTAATTATCGATTAAATTTATGCACAATCTATTTATAGTAACTAATTTTATTTATTTATAATTTAATTATTCCTTAACAATAATAATTGATTTTCCACTGTTGTTTCTAATCATACATTCCATCACCTTTTTTTTTATCAATTATTTAATAAATTTTTATAATACTTTTCATCTTAGTTTTAACCTATCCTACTTAAAAATTAAAAGACTATTAGTTTTTAATATGTATGTCCAATTAAACTTACATAATTTTTGCAAACAGAAGAACTATGTTATATGTTCAGGGATGTAAATTATATTCGCAAAGTGGTGTTTTCCCTAGACATTCGGTTTAGATAAGGGTGTTTCGGAGTTTTAACAAAATTTAAAAATAATAAAAATTAAAGATTTGATTTGATACTTTAAATATATATATTTAAATTATTTGAATTTGGATTTATATAAATTTTTAATATAAATGTTTTTCTTAAAAAAATATCAAATCAAATCTTTAATTTTTTCTAGATATATATCTTGTTGGATGTGATATGTCTAATGTTGAAAATATATATCTTTGAATAATAAAATAATTTATTATTTCAGTTTTAAAGTATTCAAGTCATATATATGCGCACATTTATATTATTTGGTTGTGTGTAATATAGTTTGAATTTTAAATGAGTTAAATAAAGTTGAGATGTACTTAAACTTTTTACTTAATTTATTATTATATGTAAAATCTATTAAAGAATCAATTTAAATATCTATTTATATCAAATTACTTCAAACAATTACTATTGTTCAATTTTTTTATTATTTCAAAAACAACAAAACACAACCAAACAAATCCTTATTTATTCGAGTTCAAAAGTGTTAAAGTTAAAACATATATATAATATATATATAGGGCTGTAAATGAACATTACAGTGAATAGTTTGCTATATTTATAAAAGCTAGAACTCTTTCTTGGTTCAAATTATATTTACATAAACAACGAACATTTTAAGGAAAGATATAAGATAAAAAATATCAGTGGTAACACTTACTTGTCTACTTGTATTAGCAAATCTCAATCCCTGCACCAATCTTTAGGGTATGTAATTTCAGTAATAAATCAAAAATTGACATTATTATATCTTAGAATACACTGTTTTTTTTTTTTTTTTTAATTTCAGTTATTTATATTAGAACACACACTTATACAGCTCATAGCTTATTACAGCAAGGTGACAATGGAACACTTAGTATTCATCAATCTTGTCGTCGCCAAAGCAAAAGAAGCTATCTATCTCCTCATCGCCAAACGGATCGCAAATATCTTCACTATACGGCAAATTATTTATCGACCCGCAAGACTGTAAACCAGCAAGTGATCGCTCATCGGTTTGTTCTTCTGATTTCACCGCCGGACGATGGTTTCCGGAGGTGATGATATGGCTGTCGCCGCCATTTTTGGCCTCGAAAGTGATGATGAGATTATTAATGTTGCTTGGGTTCACAAGAACATCATCATCATACAAACTGAAATTGGGGTTTTTGTAAAAAGCCCTAATTGGATTTGATGATGATGATGATGATGAGGAGCAAGAGTGATGATTGATGTATGTCATTTGGTAAAGTGTATTAGGCTTCTTTTTGATCATTTGAACTTGCTCTGTGCCTTTGCACCCTCCATTCTTGTAAGTGCTTTTGTAATAGCATCTGTTACGGGCAACACGTTACATGATAGCATATGAAAATAAAATAGATAACTAATGAAAATAGGTTAGACAATTAATTATCTATTTTGTGGATTGTGGATGTGTTTGTTTGGGGGATTGGATTTTAAATACACTATTAATCTCATTTTTTTTTTTTTTTCCAAACATATCAAATCAAACACCTATTTTTTATTATTTTATCTTATACTAAAAATTAATTTTATATTCAAAACATCACATCAACACCTATTTATATCACATTATACAACTATTCAAATTCAAAATTTTTACTATTCAAATCCTAACTCAAAATCCAAACCCCCAAACAAACACACCAGTAGATCTTGTAAGTAAGATCAATTGTAATATGTGGCGCATATTTGATTCAGTCAACATATGGAATAAAGGTAAACAACACATATTTCTACATAAATATGTTATATAGTACTCCCTCTGTCCGTCTCTAAGAATCTCATTTAGCTTTTGTGTCATTATACTTAATATTAAAAATATCCTTATATTTGTATATTTTTTTGTACAAATGTCATTATAACAGTATTATAAGACACTAATAAAAATATTTTTGTCATTTTCCCTTGATTTGTACAACGTTTTCATATAATAATTAATATTTAAAGATTCTTAGAACCGGACGGAAGTAGTATATAATATAACAAACAACGGATGAAGATAAAGTACACAATCATTTTTATTTTATATTGTAGATCTTGTATGATGAGCTCAATTGTAGTCAGGACTGGCCCTGGACCCGGGAAAGAGGAGTGATCGCCCAAGACAAATATAAGTAGAGAGTTGGTTATATATTTATGTTATATATATATATATATTTAATTTGTTATATATAAAACTTATTTGATATAGTATAATGTAAACGAGTGTGCTTTGGTGGTGTGTGGTAGTCTTTATACTAAGATCATAGGTTCAATTTCTCTTATCTAAAAATTTTGGATTTTTTTTTTTTTTTTTTTAATACTATTTTTGCATTGAAGAATGTTAAAAAAAATTATATTTTATTTTAAGTAAAATAAAATATTATTTATATACATTTAGAGGCCTTATTTTTATTTTGCCCAAACCTTGTGGTGATATTTGTTGTATCTATTTATATCGTATAAATATATCTTAGGTTGTTGATTTATGCATTGTGGATATATATAATATTATTTGTGCTATTATCATTATACTTAATAAATATAATCAGTGCAGTTAGACAGACAAAAAAAAAATATCGATCTACACAAATTCTTACAACCATATATACACTTTAATTTGTGATCAGAAACCAATTAGAAAAACTATATAGTGACCAATAGTGATGATAAAAAAAAAATAAAAAAAAAATAGTGATGATAATGAAGTGATGCACAACTTAGAACATACATACATACATATATATATATATATATATAAAGAGAAATTATCATAATTAAAAATAATATGGGAATTAATAAATAATTAATTAAAAAATTAAATAATTACCTGGGATAATGGGAATTGAAGATAAGCTTTTGTCCATATTTTCTCCAGGCAAACTCATCTTCTGAAGTGGAAGACTCCACTGTTCATGAATCTGAAGTCCTTCTGGATTTAAAATTAATAATTATATATCAAAATTCAATAAATGATGTAGTGCATGCCTGATCCATTATTTTTAATTAAAAATAATCACAATTAATCATATAACCCCACCATCAAATTAATTAAACCCCACAAAATGCTTGTTAAATAAATATAAGAAATTAATCTATATATATATATATACTTATATACATATATATGTATGTTGATTAAGATAGTTAGGCAGCGCACTAGACGGAATTAGAGAGAGAATTACGTTAATTACACACACTTTAAGAACAGAATTCCGTTACAAATATATTATTTATTTATTTATTTATTTATTTTTTTTGTAGTTTTGGTGCTTGGAAGATAACAATAATGACTTTTAATTTGTTTTTAAGCCACAACTCAAAAAAAGTACCAACTTGGTCATTTTAAGAAATAATTTTTCAAAAATAAAAAATTAGTATTTGATTTGATGTTTTGTGAGAAAAAAAAGTGTATTTGATGTGATATTTTTTTTAAAAAATAAATAATACCAAATAAGTGAAAATATATCGTGTAAACATAACAAAAATCTTTTTCATATGTATACATATATAATATATATCTATAGGTTCCTATCAGCCATATGCCAAAATTTATGAAGAATCAAAAAGATGCAAGTAGGCAGTTTATTGCAATTTAATCATCTCTCTCTCCTCTCTCTCTCTCTCTCTCTCTATGCATTAATCAGAAAAAAAAAAAAAAAAAAAAAAAAAAAAAAAAACATGATAATACGTTTAGGTTCTGAATTTCTGATACATATGTATGTCAAGATCCATCACTTTTGATCATTTTGCACGAGAAGATGGGTTTTCCAAAGAAAAATAAATTAAGTACAGTAAATTTGACACTGAAAAGTTTGGTCGATTCTCATAAAGCATTGAAGGAAGTGTAAATCAAAACAGATTCAGCAAATTTCTATTAAAGTATGATACTGATTAATTAATTAATTAATTAATCAATTACTATATATCTCATAAAAATTAATTTCAAATCTGACCTTCGCTTGTAACAGCCCCTCCGATTTCTCAACCCTAACGGCGCCTGAGTCTTCTTCCTGACGCCGGAGTCAACGGCGGGGATCTGAGCCGACGACGACTCGACCGACACGGCGCGAGAACTGAGCTGAGAGAGAGAATTTCCAAAGGATGTCAAGATCTGGTGCGCGAGTTCCTCCGCGGAGACGACGAGTTCTTCAGGTGATTGAGGAGCTGGATTGCGAGCTCTTTTCCTTTCAGAAGCTCCGCAGCCATCCACGTCTTCCTTCCACGGTGATTTCCGCCTCCCATTTTGGATAATTTCTGTGGATTTTCGGATCTAGTTAGGGGAATAGAAACGAGGGTTTCGTGGTTGCTGCTGCTGCTGCTGCTCTTTAGATAGAAAGAGAGTAATTAATGAACAATGGGGAAAACAATAGAGCGTGTATTTTCTAGTGCTTTATTTTTTATTTTATTGGTCTTCTTTTATCAATAATACAAAATATAATATTTTATTTTGAATTATTATTTATATTTTATATATATATATATTATATTTTTTAATTAATATTCATTTAGGGTGTGTTTGTTTGGAAGATTGGATTAGATTTCTATTATTCATCCAATTTTTTTCACCCAAAAACATCAAATCAAACACCTATTTTTCACTTTTTATATTATACTAAAAATCAACTTGACATTCAAAATATTACATCAACATCTGTTTATATTACATTATACAACTATTCAAACTCAAAATTTTTATTATTCAAATCCCAACTCAAAATCCAAACATGCAGACAAACACCCCTTAAAATGGGTCTCCGTAACTTTTTGAATAGTACTATTATATTAGATTAATTAATTAATTCCAAAATCGAATGAATTATGATGCAGTAGAGCTGGCGTCATCTGGTGACGTTTGCGGGCCAAACGATCGGAATATCTTGGCCGTAGACTTTCGGGATCATTGTACAGGAACAGGCCCCTGGACTGGGAGACCAGCTTCTGGAACTATTTCATTGCTTGCTATTTGCTAATTCATGTGTTTCTTTTACCCCAAATTTTTTAAATTTTATTATTTGTACACTGTATTTTCAAAAAACAAAAAAATATATTTTTCTTTTCATCAAATATTATTTTAATACTAAACTAAAACCAAAATTTTACTAAATTTATAAAAAAGTTCATACTCAAAAGAAGTTTTTACCGATTTTTTTTTTCTTTTTTCGTTTTTTACAATATACTTCCTCCCGTCTAATTTCAATGGACAGTTTTTCTACTAGTTTTAGTAAATTTATCGATATTAAATAACTTAATAAATATATTCACACAAAATCTTTTATTTTGATTTATTTTTTAGAAAATAATAAATATGTTTATCTATATTGAAAACTTCGTATATTTTATAAAATTAATTTATGTTAATTATAAAAAAATTAAAAATTTTATTTACTTATATTATATAAGGTTTTATTCTTTTTAAATTGGTATCTATATTGTATATATTTTTTATTGTAATATAATTTTTAAAACATTTAAATGCATATTCTAATTTTTTAATCATATATATTAAATTTATTTTAAAACCATCAATATTATTAACTATATATAAAAAATAATATTACTATAATAAATCACTATTATTAACTACTTAAATAGCATTACCTCAAATATTGTGTTCCTAATTCAACATGAGAATGTTAATTTACTTTTATAACCTTAAAAGTTTAAAAATATAAATACAAAACAAAAATGAAACATAAAAAATATACATATATTTTTTCATATTTCTAGTTATAGATGTAATCTTTATTGATAATTAATAATTACAATCATAACTAATTATTTATATATGTACATGTATGCATATATTCATTTATGTGGAGTTTGATACAGATAATGAAATTGCAAAAAAATAAAAGTAATAATAGAATAGGAGAAAAAATAAATTGAGTAGAAAATGACAATTAAGAATTCACTTGAGAAATGTAAAAAAATATAACTATTTTAATGAATCGATTAAGAATAAATGATTAATCAGACGAGACATAAATTTTAACTAGTGAAATTTCATTAAAAAAAATAAATTATTTTTTTTGGATAATAAATTAGATACGAGGATCAAATTTTAGTTTAATTTTTTAAGAAATAGTAAAAAATATATATATATTTGAATAATAAATTAACTATGATATTTTATAAAATTAAAATAATATAATTTTAAAAATATAAAAGTTAAATAATAAAATGATATAAAAATAAAAATAAATATATTGTATCAATATATCATTCTCTGCATTTCTACATAGAAATGAAATCAGAGGATGAGAAATGATTTATTTCTCAACTCTTAATTTTCTACCTCAATCAAACAGAGAAATAAAATCACTTTCATTTATCCGATTTTATTTCTATGTATTAAACAAACCCTTATAGTTGAATTTTGATGTTTTGGTATATTTTTTAAATTATAAAATTTTGAATTAATATAAATAAGTTGTGTGATGTTTTTTACTATAAAAATATACTTTATGAAAAATATATATAATATTGTTGAAACAAATAATTTTATTGAAGATGAATAATGAAAGGATAAACAATTTTGCAGTCTCGTATCTGATTTTTTTCATCATTTTAAAACTTCAATTGGACCATTTTTTAAAATGGTTCCATAAGTTGAAAAATTTCACTAAAAAGGTCCTCCGGTATCGGAATCGACACACTGTCTCGCTGAAGCTAACGTGACGTTGACGTGATTGATATGTCATTGCAACGCTGACGCCACGTCAGCGACATGTAAAATTTTTTTCTAAATAAGGACTCAATATTGTCGGCAATATCAACGGTGGTGTGTAAACGAATCTTAGCTAAAGTTCAGATCCTTAAGCCATTTACGCGATATTGCTCATCTGCAAAGATTCGAAATTATGTCTCCCGAAATATTTTCAAACTTAAGTGTTCGGAGTAGCTTCTAAAAATGATGCGACGACTCAAAGCTTTAAATAAACCGCCATAATAAATCATAAATTAAGAAACAAGGCGGCCCGGTAGACATTGCTACCAATAATAAATTAATTTCGACATTTTTTTTTTCGTCGATTTTTTTTTTTTTGTTTTTTTTTTTTTTTGCCAAGTTAAGTCGCATATAAAGATAATCGGCATCCTCCTCACACTATTCGTTCGTCAATCTCATTTTTAAGGAAACTTAATTCATCCTCTCCGCTAACAAGCGCAGCTAAATAGACGAAAGTTCTAAAAATTAGACTAAGTATGAAATTAATGAAACGAAGGGGATATCAACCAACTTTATCAAAATCCCGATTTATACTCATACTCAAAAGAATTTCAATTATTGAATAGATTCAATTTCAAACTCAAATTAAGCACAATGGAAATCAATTTACTCGAGAAAAGAACATATTTCATAGTTAATTTTATTTTAAATAAATATAAAAATTATAAATATAATAATATAAAATAATTTATTTCAAAATAAATTAGAAAACAATAAATTACACAAAATAAATTAATCGACATTAATTTAAAAATATAAAAATAAATATGAATAATTCAAGCAACTAATTAATTAACTGCATAAATAATTAATTAAGAGAGCATGTAAACATGCAGCAATTATTTTAATGTGATCGGCTATGAATTAATCTAATTGAAGCTACCGACACGCCATATATATTTACACAACTAGAACTACATTAATTTAAACTAGATTAATCATACAGTAACTCTTCCACTACATTTAAATAATAGCAGCAGCGAAGCTAAACGAGCGGGGGCTTCAACTATTTATCAAACTACCGGCTATTTACACAACTAATTCCTAAACTAAAGAAGAAGAAGGAAAACAAAGATTACAATCCAGCAACTAACAAGAACAAATTAATCCTAAACAAGTCAAAATCCATCAATACATTCAGCAGAAACGCATTACTAAGAATACTACAGGCTAAACTAATGCAATCAACTAACCATGTATCAACTAAACTAAACATGCAGCATGACTGGACTAGGACTAAACTAGAATTACTCAGACTAAGCAACCTAAACAAGCAGCAATTAAGCCAATTATCTCATCTGCAATTAATGAATAAATCCGACTAGGACAACTAATTAGAAGAAAGCTAAAATATGTTACCGTTACTCCCAAACTAATCTGAAAATTAACCTAATGCAGCTATATTACAACTACTAATTTATCTAAGTAACACATATTCTACTATCTAACAAGTTAGCAATCAATAAATAAGCCGGCATAAATAACCGAGAAATGAATCAAGAACTTCCCTAATTGTTGTCTTGCAGCCTGATTTTTGTTCAAAATTTTTGGTGGCGCTGATGACTTCCCTCCTCACACTTGAATTGTTGTTCGCCCTCGAACAATTTGTAGTTTGAGAAGGCGCTGCGAGTAATTCAAAATATATTTTCAACAGCAAAAGATGAAATGCAGTAATATTATCTAAGAATTAAAGATATATGACTGCATTTAAACTCCCTTTTTGACTTCTTCGTGGCTCGGGAATATCCAAAACAACCTCTCCTCACATTTATTGCCAAATAAGTGTGAATCTAATTTCGAACAATTCTGAAAATTTCCAAATTGTTTGTGCAGATTGTTCCTTGCAAAACTTTTCACCGAATGCCCATCAATCAGCCCTTTGCAGACTGTTCGCGCCTCTAAATTATCGATTAATCCCAAAGTCACTTAACCGGCCGGTTCACTTGCAGCTGGGTGTTGCTTCGTTGCGGTCTCCTAAAAAAATTTAGCGCTGATCTGTTGCTGCTGCTTAAGGCGGGCTGCCGCTCACTTTCGTCACCGCTCAAAGAGGCCTAAGCTACTGCTAATTACACATCAGCAATGAACAAAAACAAATTAATGTTAATCAAATCCTAACCCAGCAGCAACAAATTACTATGAATCAGTCTAAGCTAATGCAATCACCAAGTATGTATACAAACTCGACAACTAATTCCAATCTAACCCAAATCCAAATTCCAACATAATTTAATTCCAATCACAACTAAATCCTAAATTAAATATCAGAAGGAGCATAATTAACATAATTACAAGAGGTACAATCCATCCCATAACAGCCCCTGCAAAATTTCAGATTATTAGTATTATGTTCGAAATTAAGAAATTCGATGAA